CAAACTTAAAACAGTGACAATAAAATCTCCTCTCTTGATGTACTGACAAACACTAATAATAATACATTTACTACCTACCCATATAAAAAAACAACTAGCATAAACACGTGCACTCTCAACTATAAAAGTGAATATCCTAACTATTACAAAATAGCTATTATACAAAACTTAATAAAACGTGCAAAACCAAACACTTTAACAAGAAAAATTTCTATACTAGATTAAAAAAAATATTAAACAAAACCTCATGAACAACGACTTTCATAATTACATCGTTGATGGACAAATTATACGAGCTATTGAAACTATAGACATAAATAAAAAACATGAATATAAAACATAAATATAAACATAAATATAAACATAAATATAAACATAAATAAAAAGCATAATAGATCATCAAATAACACTAAGCATATCAAATTACTATACCGTAATAAAATGCATTCTAACTATAAGCAAGAGGAAAAAGATTCTAAAAAGACTCATAAACACTAATATATCTCCCACCTATCCAAGTAAAACAATAAAATTCATTAAATGCTATACTAAATTTAATACAACCAATCTAGTCGTCCAAAACAATTATTCTCGGTCAATTAGCATCTTAAAAAAAGACTAACATAATACGTCTAAATTACACACACACACACACACACACACACACACACACACACACACACACACACACACACACACACACACACACATATATATATATATATATAAATAAATATGCTATTTGCCTTAACATTAATGCTGATTATATTCAGCATGGTCTGATGCCACAACGAGAAGATAGTATTTAATCTGGAAATATTCGAACTACACAGGTAAGAATTGGCAGTTCCAACGTTTTATATTTTACTAGATTTTCTTTGATTATAGCCGCAAGTAGGCAGGGGTTGATTTCTGCTTTGAAAATCAGCATTCAATATCATTAGCATCAGAAGTTAAAATGCAACTATCTCATCAAAAGCAAACATTATTTTGATTTAAAATATTTACATAATGTAAAATTTGTGTTTATAAACTGATGTCCAAAGAATTTTGACTTGGAAAAGGACATATGGCGATTATGGTTGCAACAAGACAAGTGGATACAGATGCTAATTCTTTGGAGATGATCTTACCTTTAATTTGACGCTTAAAATCATTATCAAAATTATAGCAATCCAAGAGAAAGCTGCCAGGAACAATAACAGCAGTAAAAATGTCCTGGAAGGAAAGAGAAAAAGAAAAACGATAAAGTAAATGTAACGATCATTTTGTTCAGAAGTTTCGTTAATATATTGTTATAATCATAACTCGACTTCGTGGACGAAGATTTAGCCAGAATTTCTATGACTTACATTCCACAACAGGAGACATGTGGAAAAGCCTGCACTGGATATGTTTTAAGCGAGAAAATATCGTGCATTATCGACTTCAAAATTTCACCTGGGATTTAAGTGCTGTTGTCCTTCTATGAGATTTTGGCAGTAAGCTCCCTACATCATAGGTTTCTGTTGCAGTTTTTCTCTACAAGGCTGTAGTGTCTGCTATCACACCGAAAGAACATCCCGACAGAATAGTTTAAGGATAGTAGTTAATTTAGTTGCAATTGCTGTTAACTTTTAATTTAGCACATCCTGCATGTAACTCGCTTGCTCTTTCGACAATCCTTATAGCTTCTACCATGTTAGAGGTCCGATGACAATTTATTTCCGACAGATAATCATGCAGCATAATAACGATGGTAACAGTATGAATCGAGAAATAGCGATTATGAAAACCACTTAGCTTGAGTACCCAACCCACTTGAAGAATACAAGTTTCGTAGAAACTTAGTATGGAAAAAGAAATGATAACTTAATAATTCTCCCACCATAACAATATAGCTTTTCTATGGTCAACCTTAACTAAGATTAAAAAATGTCTACGCACGCGTGCAAGTATGCGTGTGCGTTATTTCATGGCAAATATGATATTTCTAAAATTGAATTTCTTTTGAAATAAAAATGGTTGTTTAGTAGAATTTTCGATTAAACAAAATTAAATTGGGATTAAATGATAAAATTATTTAAATATGAATGAAAGAAATATATTAAGTGACCTCAACATCAGATTAATGTGGCGTCTGTATGGATCTAATCTTATCTTGTGATACAGAACCAACTAGTAAGGTATTTTACCGGTTCACACAAGGATTGTTTATGATATTTTGTGTCCCCATATCAATGTCTTTATTGGTTTCACAGCCAATAAATAAATTCAGTTATATGCTTTACTACTACTACTAGTAAATAATAATAATAATAACAATAATAATAATAACAGCAACAACAGTAAAAGTAAATGAAGTCATTACAGAGGAAAATTTTAATGTATATTGTTTCAATTCTCTACCTCTTTTAAGTGCGAGTAAACTAAACAGTCCAGTTTCTGTAGAAACAAACAGATTTTTTATCTGATGTATAATCATAATATGAACGGAAGATAGAGTTAGCTTTATCTCTCGTCTTCATCCTCGTCTCTTCTCTCTACAGCAAGAATAATATACAACTTACATTTTCAATCAGTCGCACAGACTTTCGTATCTTTGTAAATAGTTACTGACGTTAGTTGAAAGTTTTAGCAAGGGGGTACAATATTGGGAATACTCCGTTGGGATCGAAATCATTGCCAACGCTCTGCTAAACTAGCTTGTTAACCATAACACTACAACAGGCACATTACATATAGCCACTTTCCTGTTGGCACCAACAGTTAATTTCAAAATCAGTTAAGGACTAAATGTCAGTTGCTAGGCTTTATGGATAGCACGGCCCTCTACGCAAATATTCTGATGCAGCATCATCTTCAAGTGAATTTGTCCTGGCTGACGGGAATAAAATTCCTTTCGTTGTAGAATTACAATTTCTATGTTTCTCCACATCTGAATATCTTATCTGCTAATCATCAGCTAATTACTAAGCAATTATCTGAAAACAGAAAAATCATTTTTTCTTTCGCTTCTATAAATGGGTGTCAATAGAAAAACAGTTTAATGAGTTTTCTAGAAATATCATTAAAAACGACGGCAATTATTTTTAAACGAAATCTTGCATTTTGTATTTCATTTATTTCCTTTTTTAATATTTGAAAATATAATGGCTTTTTTATTTGCATGGAACACAAAACATTTAATCAAAGATATAATCAAGCAAATGTTTTTGAATTCAGACAAGTTTTATTCATGTAAATGTTAAACTAATTAAACTGCTTTTGACAATGAAATTATGTCGAATGAGATCTCAAGGGACAGTATATGGAACTGTACACATTAAGATCTAAGATCTTAATCGGTAATTCTTTTTAAGAATACTTTCAATTGAAAATGACTGAAGAGATCATAGTTATTTTAATGCAAACTAATTTATTAATTCGATCTATGACTTGCTTGATACTAGGTTAGTAAATATATTCTTTAACGAAGCGTATTTTCTTTTTACGAAATCCTTCCTGTGGAGTTTTAGAAGCAGTTTTGTAAATAATTCCACTTTGTATCATTGTTTGTTTTATTTAACGAGAAACTCTCCCTCAGTCGTTCGCAATACACACAATACTATATGGGAGCTTGTGTTGTCTCTCTCTCTCTCTCTCTCTCTCTCTCTCTATATATATATATATATATATATATATATATATATGCATGTATTATATATATATCATTATTTACTAAATTTAACTTGGTCTCGCACTAAGAGCATACAATGGGGAATCGAAGTCATTAATGAATGAGTGAAACTTGTAAACTGTTGCAAAACGGCAGACAACTACATTCAAATGTGTACAAATTAGATTTCATTGTAGTTAACTGCATTTCAGGTTCCTTGAATACATAAAATATTGAAATAGTATTCTTTTGGAGAGGGGTCTAATGTTTTGCTCAGATGAGCTTCAAATATTTCAATATCGAAATAAGTGTTTACATATTTCTCTTGCAAAAACAAATCGTCATTAAAACTGTACTAATGATTTTCAAACACGTAGTTGAGATTTTTCTGTTTTTCTGTTTTGTTTGCGAAAAGTAATGTTTGCTGTAACTTACCGTGGTAAGACAACGACTTGTAGTCCTGCTGTACAAATTAGCATGACCATTGAACAAATCATACTGCTTCCAAAGGCAATATCGTCGACTCCTTGATACTGAAAAAGAAAACAGAATAAAAAATATAGATAAGAATTCACACACACACACGCGTGCGCACACACACTTCCGTACACACGCACATGCATACACGCGTACACATTCACGTACATACACAGTATTTTATTTTAATAAATTAAGAATAAAACGGTTAAGAATAGAAAAATAGTTTAAAAACATGTGTTTCGTTTAACAAAAGTACTAAGGAAAAAAAGAAAAGGAAAAAATAAATAAACGCTTTTTCTTTTATAAGTAAATTTGTGGAAGAGAAAAGGGCATCAGATTACTGTTAAATCCTACCAGTCATCCAATAAAATATTTGACTAAGTGATTAGATGTGATAAAAGATAAACGTTTAGGAAATAGATTTTAAATGACGAGGTAAAAAAAAACGTCTTTACTGTATCTCGACAACACATTAAGGAAATAAAGAAAAGATAACAGAATTTTCCCTTTCTCCAGGCAATAAAAAAAAAAGAAAAGGGCTATAAAAACATCCGACGGCCTTCACACGAAGATTTGTTAAGATAAAAGATTTAAAAATCCTGGAAAATACATCGGGAGGCCGATTACAGACAAGGATTTTTTACACATCAAAGAAAGCAAAATTTAAGTACCTTGAAATTTTTAACTTACAGTCGCCAATGCTTATCTTTTGTTTTCACCCGGTGGTCTAGGGACTTCCGATTAGTTCAATATAAATACGAGTGATTTTTCCGAGCCGGGCAGTTCAGCCGGGTGTGTGCTTGAAGTAGCCACGTGTGTCAGACACACTGAAGAAGTGAAACTCCGTTCGTCTGAGTCGGTCGGTTCGGCATTTGATCTCCATTAGTTAGAGTTAGAGCTGAGTGTCACATCGCCTACCCCAACGGCAAGACTAAGTCTGAACAAAATAAAGCTTGATTAAACTCATCTAAGTTGTGGAAGTTCGTTCCTTCAATGCTTTATCTTGTGCCCCCAGCTTGAGACTTCGACTTTTTCAACCAACCCCCGGCAACATCACAGCGTGGAGAACGGCCGCCGGAGAAATTGTACGGAGCTCACAGTGGGTGTTACAATTGGTGCCGTGTTAACCCAGGATTCGGAATCCACGGAAGTGCCACTGGATGCTAAAGTTTGGATTTCAACGAACCGACGCGACTGGACAGAATACGAAACAAGACGAACGGAAAAAGGAAATTGAAGGAAGAAGCACTCTAACGACCAAATGAAGAATTACTCTAGGAACCTCAGCAGACAGAAGAATTTCTTTTAGATTTTTTTTGATCGTCACACCCACTAAAAGACATTCTAATTGCTTGGTATAAAAAAAAAAAAAAAAAAAAAAAAAAAAAAAAAACAAAGAAAGAAAAGGGAACCCGTAATCAACAAGCACTGATTCACTTAAGGTAAGCCGAATTCCTTACTCCCTAATTTTGTCTGTTCAAAATTCTCGCTGGCATATTCTTGGTATTGGTTTTGATTTTTTTTTCTCTTTCTTTTGCCACTTGTTAGAATTGTAATAGTTTTTTAGTATGGATAGGATTCATGTTATCGGATCAAGTGGGTCGAGAATACCTGTATTTAAAGGTAGATCTTCCGAATTCCAGGCTTGGGTTGAAGCCATAAAAAAAAAGAGTAGAATACACAAGCTTTCGCAGGCAGAGATAGTTAATGTGGCCTACGACTACTCAGATGGAGTAGTATCAGAATATATAGGGCTGTATTTAGAGGATCATCCTGAATGTAGTTGGGATGAACTTTTGAAACAGCTAACTCATCAATATGGTGATTGTACTAGTGCAGCTAATGCTGCAAGGTCTTTAATTAAGGTTAGACAGAAAGAAGGAGAAACTCTGCCAGAACTAACGAGTAGGATTCTAGGACTGGCTAAGATAGCGTATAAGGACGCAGTTCAACGAGAGGGCGAGGTAATTCAGATGCAGCTGGCTGAGTTTTTCACGGACGCAATCGAAAACCCGTTCGTGAGAGAGGACACAGCCAGGGCATACCCAACCACTCTGACGGAGGCATTCAATGCAGCACAACAGAGCCTCAGGCTGCACGAAAGGCTGGCAACCTCTCGGGAGCAAATGTGGGGGGCGCGGGGGCAAGGTGATGGAAGATATGTAGGGCCTCCCCAGAACGATAAGGGACGGTGGAGGTACGGTGGGACGGATCACCATTGGGAAAACCATACCCCGCAGAGGAGCTGGACAGAGTCACGCCCAGTTCCTGGCAGACCGGGATGTTGGGGATGTGGTCGGCTGGGGCACCTGATGAGGGAATGTCCTCGTCAGGAGGGGCCCTTACGTGCCAGAAAAGAAACCGAACGACAATCGGGAAACGCGGAGGGGCCACCCCGAGGGATGTAAGGGTGGCCCGAAGTTATGCGTTGCTCAGCCAAGGTACTGAAGCAACTTGTGATGTGCTGGTGAGCGGCAAATGCGTACAGGCATTATTAGATACGGGGGCATGCATATCAATTTTTAGGTTAAGAGATTTTAAGGCATTAAACCAAAAAATTAGGAGACTCGAAGCCGCAGATATGAAGATAATTCAGGCAGACGGACGAGAAATAAGGATAACCGGTGCGATATCCCTGCCTATAAGTGTGGGAGGGGTATCCACTATGCAGAAATTTTATGTAGCCCCAACCATCTGTAGGGCAATGATATTAGGCCGAGACTGGTTGGAGAACAATAAGGCTCAAATTAGCTTTAATCCAACCTTCTTAAAGTTAGGTGGAAAGGAGATTCCTCTCGGAGCTCCGATGAATGAAGAAGTGGTCGTTCTTACTAGTAAGGACATTGTTTTGCCGCCGCGCACGGCTATTGCATGTAACGGAAGGCTATCGCCAGCAGAAAACCTAAGGCAAGGAATATATCAGGTAACTCCAACTGATAAAGGTTACTTCGAGGAAGGGGAAATCACGTTATGCGAATCGGTGGTCGAATATAGGGACACTAATGACATCCCAATAATGCTAGGAAATGCCACGAACACAACGATAAAAATAGAGAAAGGGGATGAGATAGGAAGAGCAACGCCCACAACTATCATAAGGCAACAGGTGAGCAAGAAACATTTAGCTCATGTTCAGGTAAACTCGATAGTAAACGAGGAGGAAATATTGGCACCGCCTGAACACATGGGGAGCATAAGGCGACTAATACTTAAGAATAAGGACGTGGTGGCTAACTCTGATAAGGACTTGGGTCGGACACAAACAGTGCAGATGAAGATTGACACAGGGGATCACCCACCAATAAAATTAAAACCGTATCGGACACCGATGCACAAACGTCAACTGGTGGAGGATGCAGTCAATGATATGCTGGAATCAGGGGTGATCGAACGCTCTAAATCCCCGTGGAGTTTTCCAATAGTAGTAGTCAGTAAGAAGGATGGAGGACATAGGTTTTGTGTCGATTTTAGGGCCTTGAATAAAATCACGAGGCCCATGGCCTACCCCCTGCCAATGATTGATGATATCTTGGCTTTGTTGGGAAAATCTAAATACTTTTCTAAGCTTGATCTAAGATCAGGATATTGGCAGGTAGCTTTAGACAGAAATGACCGAGAAAAGACAGCATTTGCGTGCCACGCGGGTCTGTATCAGTTTAGAGTAATGCCATTCGGACTCGCCAATGCACCAGGAATTTTTCAGCAGCTTATGTCAGTAGTTTTGGGGGGGTTAGAGCAATTTGCAATGGCTTACTTGGACGACATATTGATTTTCTCCGCCAGTGAAAGTGAACACCTTCAGCACTTGCAAATTGTTTTTTCCCAATTGCGGAAACACGGGTTAAAGATTAAGCTATCTAAGTGCCAATTCATGCATAAAGAAACAAGGTACTTGGGATACATAATCAACGAACAGGGGGTTAAACCAGATATGGATAAAGTTGAGGTGATCAGGGCAATGCCTGCTCCAAAAACGATTCGGCAGGTTAGGGGCTTTATAGGGGCGATAGGTTACTACCGGAGATTCATTCCGGCATTCTCTAGGATAGCCACACCACTTATAGCATTAACAAAAAATATGCTAGATTCAAATGGACGGAAGATTGCCAAAGGTCCTTTGATGCCCTGAAGGAACAGCTGACTGCTGTCCCCCTATTGGCTTATCCAGATCTGAATAGGCCCATGATACTGTACACTGATGCGAGTGATCAGTGCATTGGGGCATGTCTGACCCAGCCCTGTCCCGACAAGGATGGCCCCGTGCCAGGGATACCAGAGGAGGTACCCATCTACTTCTTATCTCACCGGCTCTCCCCTACTCAGCAGAGGTGGCCTGTGATCGAGAAAGAAGCCTATGCCATAGTCTATGCATTACAAAAACTAGACTACTACCTGAGCGGAGCGAAGTTTATAATCAAGACTGACCATAAACCCCTACAGTATTTATTTGAAGCGGAACTTACCAACAGGAAAATACAACAATGGGCCATAAATTTGAGCGGGTATAATTGTAAAATAGAGTATTTGGCGGGGAGGGACAATACATGCGCTGATCTGCTGTCTCGAATCCCTCGGGCGTTAGAAGAGGAATCTGTAAACATTATACCTGAGGTGGATGACAAGGCGTACCAGATAAACGTGATTAACTCTCAGCGAATTGAGGATCGAACCGGCTTAGAGGAACTGGAAGACTCGGGTGACATTGAAGAGGACCGACCCCCCGAAATATTCTGCGAGTACGAAATGGACGATGAAATTAAGAATCTAAAGGAAGCAATAGAGGCGGGCCGGGTAACTGAAGCATGTGCACGAAAATACCTTATTACAAGAAGATAGGTTATATTATCTCTCCGACAGGGAAGGGGAAGTAAGGCCCCGGTTGTACGTAGCCAGATCACTCCGACGTAGGATACTAGCACAGCACCACGACACCCTAGGACACATGGGCATAGATAAAACGTACGGACTTATCAGTAGGAAATATTACTGGCCGGCTTTATACAAAGAAGTGACTGCA